CTTTTCTATCTGTATTATACAAAATACAAAATACTGCTTACTGTATCCCTTAATACAGACTTCAAAACACAGCCAAAACCTAATAATTAGCTCCACTCTTCTCTAGGCACTCATGCCAACAGAAGTTTCTGCCAACAGTAATGAAGTGGCACCAAAAGAACTCAATATACAGAACTTGTTGAGATGACGATTTAGCAGACATTAACACAAGACACACAAAAGCTTCACCATGGGTTGGGCTTCTGGTGCTCAAAGAAAAGCATTACTACTTACAAGCCTTAAGGAATAAATAAACAGTATCAGATTACCTGCCTAAACTAAGAGTACAGTACTGGGTCTCAGCAGAGGAAGCTCAAAAAACACACATGGAAAATGTAGCTTTATTATACAAACAAGCTGTCAGAGCCTGCTCTAATGAAAAGACTTAGTATCACCTCAGCCAAGAGTTCCAACTAGGTAGAAATCGAGTGAGATTCAATACTGTGCTCATTGGGCTTGTGAACCTGGAACAGTGTCCTGTAAAACCATTTAGCAGGTTGGGATTGTAGATTTTCCACATTTTAACATGGTAAATTGACTGTGGATGAGTTAATAATATAGATTCTTTTTTTTCTTTTGGGATCCCTAGAGATGGGGAAAAACCCCAAATAACCTTCTTTAGTAAAACTTTGCCTAGTCCAAGACTTTCTTTGCCTGGTCTTCCAAAAGCTTATCTCCTTAATGAGACAAAGAATGCAGGTCAATGCAGAGCAAGAGCTAAGGTTCTATTAGCAGAAACACCAAATACCCTGTGAGACAAACCCTGAAGCAAGGAAGAAGATGGATCATTTACTTTTGGGAACGTGGAACATCTTGCATTCCTTGCTGTTGCAGAATTTCTATGCAACCTCATCTACAGATATATTGTAACCTAACTCTGCGCAGTCTGGTGCTGCAAATATTTCGACAGGATAAAACCAGGTAGCACAGTAACCTCACCTCCTTCCCTTCCTCCCAGCTTCACGCAAAACACATCACCTGGCCTGAGAGAAGAGTCAATACTGAGACAACACCACTTCGCCCGCAAGAGTGAAACGAGTTCTGGAATTCCCTTCTGAAGACAAAACAAACAAGCAAACCAACCCATAATAATAATCTAACAGGGCAGTCTGAGTTGCTTACTGCAGCACAAATAGAGAGACAACTCCACGCGTCAGGACGTCTCCCGCTGTGACTGAGTCGAAGATGCAGTTCTGCCACTGAACAGTAAGCGAAATGCAGCAGTTCCTTCACCTTATCTTCAGACCTCCGCATGTAAGTAGGGGGCATTTTAAGTGACTTCTGTGCAATTGTTGATCGTGCTTCAAATCTAAGCATAATGAACCCTGTCATCAATAAGATCGCTCTAACCCTTTTCCTCATTTTTACAGCCCAAGAACTACTGTTTCTCTTCTCACATTCCATTCCTACGCACATTTTCCTCATGGGACTTGGTAACAACACCAAATCTCTCTACGATCAAACAGCAAGCAGCTCAATTACAAAAGAAAACTCAATTGTAAGGATGCAAATCTACCAGACCCTCATTCTTCGCCCCTTGAAATTAAGTGTTACCCACAGTGGATGACACAGCCCACTTAAAAAGGTTACCCAGCTACACATGCTCATGTCAATACAGCAGTACTGTAGGCCAATTTAATCTATCGTCCTATGCATTTTCCCCTTGGTTGACATGGAAAATCATGACAGGATTATCCAGTGACTCCTAATTTAAACACTGATCTTGTAAAGAGAGACTTCACAAACTAAATATGTGCTTGCAGCCAAGTGTTTCTCATAGAAAAGCAACTGTTATTTGGATTTTTTCTTTAAAAAGGTAAAAACTGGTCAGACTGATTTTTAAAAGTTCCAAAAAATGATTATGCAATAGGAAGAGAAAAATTCCCTATCAAAATGAAACAAATGTCAATACAGGATTTTAGTAGGTTTTCATACTAAACATAGAAAGCCAGGACATGGACTTCTGCTATTTATAAAATCTTTTCTGGAAAATTGCCAAATCCTTCTAACAGAAGTAACAAGATTACTTTAAAAGAAGAGAACAAAAAAAAGGGCAAAAAAAGTGGAAACTGCTGGGGCATGCACAATCTCCAAAACATGCAGAACAGCTGCAGTAAAATTCCCTTCTCCATGAAAACAGGCAGGCAAAAACGTACAAATTTTTTTGATCTGTGATGACAGAACAGCAACCTTGAACATTCCAGCAACAATATTTTAAGGAAGCACACAACTAAAGCAGTTTTCAGGACAACTCAGACCTTTGGGAAATTCTTGCATTTGGAATCTGTTTAACAGATTAAGATATCAGGCATAGCAGTAACTATTAGAAACTGAATGAAAGACTTGTTCTGGTAACCACAAATTAAAAGAAGATATGAGGCTTTGATTCAGATTTCTTCAGCACCCACAGCAGTTAAAGGCAGCTGTTGGTTACTATTTTGCTAAGGAGGCAGCTAGAGGCTCTGGCTTCCACAGCAAAAGAAATAGTGATGCAAGTCCACAAATCCATCATGACAGTGAAAAATCTGGACCTTTCTCTCTCATTCACCTGTACCTGTTGCTTTAAAATGAGATCGACAATTTTAAACTGGAAGAGCCCCTGCGCCCGACTGCTACACAGCAGTAACTCCTCAGAAAAGACAGCCAAGGTGTACTCGGGTTTTAAACAGCCAAAACTATATTCTAGAGAACTTGATTTTGTTAAAGTCTCTAATGGCTTGAAGAATTAATAATTTTAAGGGTTTATGCATGCAAGTATACTTATGTGAACTACTTACAGGTAATGAGTACAATGTCCAATGTTAACTGCTTGCCAGATAAAGCCAAATGACATAATTAGTTTAGAAAGAAGTCTAATTTCACATTCATTATTAGACATTTTGAAGCCTAAGCCTTGGTATAGATTACACAAGACTTTGGGGCTTCCAGCATTTAGCAATACACTACCCAGGCTGAACATAATCCCTTACATACTGTCCATGTAGCTATGCAATGCTGTAAATGCACAGCTAACCTTTAACAGCCATTTCCACCTGACTGACAGATGGCAAATTCATCTTTTTTTTTTCCTCCACAGAAAAAAGTTACACTGGATAGGCGCAGATACCGCTCACGTGAATCTTAGTGAAGCAGTCAGTCTGACATGTAGAGTGACTTACAGAGCTACCTGGCTGCTAAAAAGAAAAGCAAGGGAGAACTGAGGAAGGTAAATTTTCATTCACCAGACAGCTGTTCCTACATCCCGATTACAACTGCTGCTGGAGGTAAGTGATACAGGAGGTACATTAGGAAATGGCAAACAAGATCTGCACCAGTAAGCTTAACGTACATGGAAGCCATTGAAGAACTGAAAAAGAAAGAAGTTGGTCATTGTATCAAAAACACAAGGTCTACCACAGGCCTAAAGAAGTCCAGACAGAAAATGTGAAGGCAGCCTAAGGCACAGCTCACAAATCTCAGCTCAGAACAACCGTTCTACCTTTATCACAAAATTTCACTAAAAGCTCAAGATTAGGAATATATTTAAACGCTATGTTTGAGGAAACAGCAGCACAGTCTAATATCCTTACATAACTTTTCCTACCACAGCTTCTGAGCTGCCAAGTTGAACTGGGATCACAATTCATCCACTGCTGATAATGAAGTAGCTCATCAACTTCCAATATTTATGAAATTTAATTCGTAAAAGAATCCTAATTTGAAGATTCTCAACTACATGCCTTACCCTGAAAACTATATTAATCAGAAAACATCGAAATCTCATATCATATCTTTATAAACTCACAAAGCCTATTTACACTGACGGTAAGAACCTTCTTCTGTCTCTAACTGATAAACATTTCACACAAGATACGGCATTATAGCTCAAGGATGTTAATGACCATCTAACTACACCTAGCAATAATGTGGCATATATGTACAAGCATGCAGTTATGTTTTTGTCAAAAAAATGCAAGGTCATAATTAAGCTTTTACCTAATGTCAATAACAACTTTATCTGCCTATAACTGAACATGAATGATGTACTACAGAAAATAAAGGCTCTTGTAAGAAAAGTTTTTGTGAAATTACAACAATTTAAAAAATTTAAAGAAACTAAAACCCAGGTCCATCATTTTAAAAAATTCAGTCGTTCAGGACAAAAAAAAAAAAAAATCAGTATAGCATACCATTTTAAACTGTAATATCAGTGTTATCCATTTTCACCTGCTGTGACCTTAAATTACATATTTTTGTTTGGGTTTTTTTTAAACACGGTTATTTCAATTCATGTTAAAATAGAGTTTGTTCCATTTTTCCCTGCCTATTGGGAATAATACACATCACTTTCTGAGAAGTTGTTGTCTTCTAACACTTAAAAAAATTCACCAGAACAACAGATAGATATTTAAATTTTTTTTACCTACGTATGCACACACACGTAAAATAGCTTTGAGCAATAAAGTCAATAGATATCTTTAAAAGACAGATATTTATATCATTCTGCATCCTAATTTCTATTCCCAGAAGGCCTACAGAATGCTCTGCTACACCTGCAGAAGTCACACCCAACTTGCATGCACTCCTTCTTGAGGATCTACAAATCAAAGAGAACATTGTAAAATAAAACCTCAGAGCTAATTACAGCTTTCTGCTGTAGAGTACCATCCAACAGAAACAAAGGATAAAATTATCATTAAATTGTTGAAGCAAAATACTAATGGAGTTTTGTGTGTGCTGACAAGACATAGTTCACACAGTCCTTTTGCCTTATAGTTGCTATCAGCCCTGTCCTGATACTGCATTTGTCATCCCAGTGAGGCTCCTTTCTCTATCCCAACAGATACATAACACTCCTTCTCCCGCCCTTCCCCTGTATTAAAAGCAACACAGGGAATCTTTTCAAGGCAATTTCCCGTGCGCTTTGGCCACTTTTACAGAAATTATTGTTTCCTGAATATCATCAGTTACAAACAAGAACAGTTTATTTCTTACTAGATGTATTTTGCCACCTTTTAAAAACAATATTTTAACTTTTAAGCAGAATTATATGCAATGAAATGTTTTACACACAATTCTTATTTACTCTCTCAAATATTTTAATGAATGCATTAAAATCATGGCTTGTCCCGGTCACAGCTTTAACAAGTCATGTGCCTTGCCTGCATGTCAGCTGAACTAAAATGTATTCTCTGGAATTACGAAGCCTTTAACTTGGAAGTACAAGGAATACAGAAGTATGAGGAACAGTTCTTGTTCTTTTTTTAACGTATTTTCCTTTATCAAAGCTGCGCTGATCACATACTATGGGAACACACCCAACATTTCTGCATTGCTCAACATTTTCAAGCAGGTACAAACGCAAAAAGAGACAAAATACTTACCTTAGGTGGTTTTCTAGATGATCAGCAAAAAAAATCCATGATGAAGAGAAGTACAAATACATGATTCACATAAAGGGAAAGGAGCAAAGAAAAAGAAAAGAAACAAAGTCAGTGTACATCATTACTATAATCTGAACTTTTCAGTAATCTACAATGTATTTAAGAATAATTAGGTCAGAAAATATTTATACAATACACTACAGATTTTTAACCAGCAGGTAATTAGTAATACAGCCACCCGTTAAAAAGAAAGGAAAATGTCGGATTCCTTATAGGTATAAAAATCTGACAGCAGTCTAACAGTGGTAGTCCAAACACAGCCCCTCTTTTGTGGCAAACAACCTGAACCCGCAAACCAGCAGACCAAGGTGCCAGGGTGAAACCCCACTGACTTCAGCAGTGCTACACGTTCCAGACCAAGGTAAGAGTCAAACAAATGTTTCTGATGGAGATTATAGAAGTGTGAAGAAAAATAAGCCTGTGTTTTCCCTAGCCACGGAAAGCCTACACAGAGCATAGGAAGCCAACACAAAAACACCATTACGCTTCACACAACTCCGACGAGTGCTGTCAGAAATAAAGCAGAGACCACAAACCCCCAAACCTAAAGACACCAGCTCAGAGTACTTCCACTTGTCCTTAAATGCTTCTATGCTTATGCTGGCAGCCATATGGCCACATAGTAAATTAAATCAGTTTGGGGTTTTTGTTTAGTGAGATTGGTTTCAAGTGAAATCGCTGCCCTGCCTCACTGTGCAGCCCCTGTGCTCTCAAATGTCAGTAACAGAGCCTGAAAAATATTGTCACAGATCAAAGTATGAATGTCAGTGACCACAGAGCCCACTGAACTTCTGAACTTCCTCCTGCTTTTGTCCTTGAGCCACCATGAGTTTAATAAAATACAATTTCTAGAAAGCTTTGTGCTAATGCAAACAGGTTTTTTTCTCCCCCATTGTCTCTTGCTAAAATCAAACCCATAATGCTTCTCACATTTGCTAACAGAATTAATTCACAAAATGTCAGTTCTAATGTTCTACACTAGTACATGAATAGGAAGTTCAAGGGGCAACGGGCACAAACTGAAGCATAGGAAGTTCCGTCTGAACATGAGGAAGAATTTCTTCACTCTGAGGGTGACGGAGCACTGGAACAGGCTGCCCAGGGAGGTTGTGGAGTCTCCTTCTCTGGAGGTGTTCAAGACCTGCCTGGACAAGGTCCTGTGCAGCCTGCTGTAGGTGACCCTGCTTCGGCACAGGGATTGGACTAGATGACCCACAGGGATTGGACTAGATGACCCACAGAGGTCCCTTCCAATCCTACCATTCTGTGATTCTGTGAAGTCTTCCCGACTGCACCCAGGTTTTCCCTCTACCACCCACACACTGCTTGCGACAGCACACGATGAGAGGAGTGCACCTTGCTAGTAGCTTAACAGCAGCAAATGTTGTTTTTTTTATAACTGCCTACACTATTTCACAGGAGTCTCCCTTTGTCATATAAAAAGTTGGCAAACTGGCATACATAAGTATTCTGACTAGAAAACTAGTCCCATGCAATAGGAATCAACAGAAAACACTCTTGCACTACGAGCATCCAGAAGTACACAACGCTCTCATCTTAAAGTCTCAGTCTTCAGGACCAGACCTGACCTGGTTTTTGTCCCTTAGCCAGTGTTGTCAGCATTCCCAACCAAATGCCACTTCTACCAGAAGGAAAAACATCTTATACATCAAAACACTTGAAAAAATTGCTTGTTCTCCCCACTCCACATAATGGAGCTTCCTCACCCCACCCACACCCAGTCAAGAATGTCATCTTCAGTAGGGACAAGGTATGTTTAAAAATGAGAACGTAGGTGTAAAAGCAAGTACTCCACACTGAAGACGACAGAGGAACAAGGCATCTTTGAAAAACAGGTCTCAGATTCTTTGGAACAACACCCACACAGTCCAATTCAACTCCAATTCGGCTGTGCTAAGAAGCCAAGTAGGTCACAATTCTACTATAATTATTCCACATTTTTAAAAGTATTTGGTGGATTCTTAACCTTTCTCACAATTAGTTAATGAAGACGAAGCATTCATAACCAGCTACATTAAGTAACCACACATAGTTTCTACAGCAGATGATGAGTGAACCACATCACATTGCAGTTTGCTCTTCTAAGCGGACAACACCAGAAATCATCATCTAAGACACTGAGTCTGAAATACCTTTTTGCTCTTGCCACATGTGCAACCACAGCAAATTCATCATACTCACTGTTTTCTCAAATACATAATCATGTGTTTACATGTAGTGGCTACCTAGTCATCAGTGTACTCCTCAGGATCACCGGTCAAAAGAATTATTACAAGCAACTACCAATATACTGGAAAAGGGAGAGAAGTCTTCAGGTTTTTATATGATGAGTTGAAAAAAGTCTTCCTTCTTTCCTCTGCAAGGATAAAGATCAAATTCAAAAGATCATCCTGATAAATAAAAAGTATATTTTTTTACATTTATTTTTGAGCTCCCTTTAACAGCATTTGATAGCCACAGTCTCCAAAATTCGGTTTCCACATATTCCTCACATGCAGTTTATTCTGTTGAGAATTCTGCAGTACTAGGAAATTAATGAGTTCTTTCTACAAGTCTACAGCCTCTTCCCAGATATCTCAAGTCACAACAGGTTATCGAACTTCTTATGTTTTTATGCATATGCAAGGGAGGTAACTTTGCACTCCTCCCCTCTTCACTTTCAGCACATGATCTCTTCTCTCACTACCGCTCCAGCATCTCTGGAATCTAAAGACCAGCTGTTCAAAACAAATATTACAGTATCTTCTGAGTGTTTTTAAATTGCTGGGTTTTTTTTTAAATCAGGATGCTTTGCAACTCAGGCTGAGAATATCACCAGCAGTGTGTGCTTGCCTCCCTCAAAGGCAGAGTGCAAGGGAATAACCAGTGGTAGGACCACCATAACGACTGCACCTTGCACCTCCATCAAACTGTGTTGTTTGTTTAACCATATGTACAAGGCTTTCAGAGTGGCTGGGGCAGAGACAGCAGACACTCAGCACTCTTAACTGCAAGCAATGTAAATTATGTAGAAGCAAAGAGATGATGTTTCTCCTACCCTTCACAATAAGATCATGCAGCTCTAGGACTCTTCGTTGTCTCACGGTTTAACACTGCAGGCTGTTACTCGCAGGCTTGATACCAAGCATCTTAAAAAGCCTGCCTATATATTATTAATGGACACTGCATTACTTAAGAAAAGTACTTATCTAGATAAAGATCGTAGTTTGTCACACTAACAGTTTCAGATGATCAGGTACTCCAAACTACTGGTATTACACCATTTTCTCTACAAAGAGCATAGAAAACCGACATTTACTTGCCCATTTCCCCCTTCCATTTTCTAAATACAGAAACAGATCAGAGGAAATGGCAGGGGCAATGCCCTGAAGGGGAACAGTGCCCTACCTTTGTGCTTGGCTGAGGCACCTCCTGCAGAGCTCACTAATGAAGCTGGCATCACAATTTGATGCTAGGATTCCTGGAAGAGTTACTTTACATACTGTATGAGCACACATGCATACACAAAGATAGATAATTAGTTATTTTATATTCTTGCATAAGGTAGGCAGCACAAGCCCTGTATCTGTTTAATCCTCCTACCCGGCAAGTGTCTGTTCCTATAGACAAAATAATCCTTTGAAGAACAGCAAGAGAAAAATATCTTAACAAGTAATTTGAGCAAGTGCCTACATAATAAGGTAGTAGCTGATCATAATCAGAAGCACCACCAGAAACAGATGCATACTGTTGATGCCGTGAAAAACCGGAATTGAAGACTCAATAGTCGGCAGACTATTAGGCAGGTATTCTTTATTGCGGCGCCGGGCACACAGGGGATCTCTCCTCCAAACGTGTGCACCGAAAGGACACACTTACTAGGTATTTATGCTATGTTAACGTACACATTCATTACACCTGCAAGAAATGCTTATCATAGTTTTACTGAGAACTCATTAGTATATGGTAATGTCCGTCGCGCATGTTTGTTTGGCGTCTCTCGGTGATCAGCGGAGTCTTCAGATTATCCTGCAGCCTCTTTCTCTCTGTAGTTTGCACACCTGTTCTCCCAAGGCCCAGGCGCCTAAAGGGATTATTCAGGAGTCCCTTCTCTTGCAACCGTCCCAATTATTCACAGAGAACCAAGACTCATTTTGGTTGTGCAATGATTCTGACACTTGAAGTGATTACATCCCCTACATGTTACATTTGTTACATGTACAGTTATCACTGTAAAAATACATTGCTCTCATGCTTTATGGAAACACTGTACCAAGAAGCTGTGCTACTCACTGCAAACCTACCACATGCAAAGAGAGAAAAGTCAGACGCTGAAATCAGAATGACAAATACTGTAGTGCAAGTTAAACAAAATAGACATTACAGTAGCAGAGTGACTTCCATGACAAAAGAAACCTAGAAAATGCCTGGATATTTCACCATAACAGGGTTCAATTCCAAGAACTTAAGTTCATTCACTACAGCAGTGATGAACTACCAGAAAAAAAAAAGGCACCACAGGTTATGAAACCAACACAAGCTCATTAAAATAAGAGAAAGCATTATATTCTGACATTTAAAAGATGGAGAACAAAAAGTGGTAACAGCCCTGGAACACCCCTAGTTCCTAACTTACATTCACTCCCAAGTTCTGAGTATTTTTACTGCCCAAGGCATTTTTATTCCAATGCCAGCAATTTACTCACATGAAGTTCAAGAGGTTCTAATTAGACAGAAGCCTTGGTGTTCATGTAAAAACAACTTATACCAAGAGCCTGAAAAAGGGCTGATACCTGTCCTACGTGCAACAGCACACCACTATGCAAACAGCAATCGGCTTAGTACAGTCACTACCCATGAGCAGAAAGATTAATCTACCATTTTAACAGAAAGTTCAGTAGAAAAAGTTCTCTGTATACTCTCCCACATAAAATAAGCTTTTTTAAAAAAAAG